ACTTCGCAGCACTATAGACTGTTCATAAAAAGCTCCGCACACAACATCCAGCACATAAACAATAAAGAGTGACAGTTAACTGAGGATTCACTAATGAAGAGGAATAATTCTGAAGTAGCTCTGGAGCATTTACAAAGGTTTAAATGGGCACTGCACTGGTGCTAATATTATGTTATTTTATTTATCTCTGTTTGCTGATGTTTCAAATTATTAATAGACTAACACCATAGTAAATCTAATATTAACATTAATAGCTCAGCAGCCACTTACTTGTAATGTCGTTTAGCACATCATTTAGCACGAGTGGCTTGCATGGTCTTTTAATAGGCTTTTAAACAGGAATTAACATAATGTGTCAAGGCTGACTTGACAGTGATGCTGAGGAGCTCCAGTGAGAAGAGATTCCCAGCTAAAAGTTACTCATTTAAGAGTCAGTTTCAAATATGTGTTAAACGCTGAGAGAGAATAACGATAATTTACACAACTACTAGAACTTTCTTGTTTTTTTCCTGGTGCAAACCAGAGGAATTAACAAACACCAAGTCATCCATCGACAGTTCAAAAGGTATCAGAGAATTCAAATATGTAAAATACAAGTGTCAGTTAGTCTCCAGCTGTGTTTTGCGGTTGAGCCTCCAAAGTGCTGCCATTAGTGAAACAGTTTGTGTCTTACATGATGACCTGCTTAGGCTGATATCAGTATTTACAATTATTCATATTAATAATTATTAATATAACAATTCAAATCAAATTTTGTTCTTAAGAAAGAAAAAACTAGGGGAGAGTTACAAGTGAGGAATCCTTCTCACAGGATGGACAGAAGAGCAACAGATGCCACATGTAACAGAGCAAATGAACATTCTTGAGAAAATGTAAGTGTCTAACATCACTGGAGAGGTGTATCAATTTTTAAAGTATGTGGACAAAGTCAGAGATGAAGGGAGCAGGTATAATGACAGAGGTATTACCAATAATGGTAGTATATGTTGGCAAGCATGTTGTAAATCCAACCAATTTAGATGAGATGATAATATCAAGATCAGCGGCCAAAACTATCCATGATCATCATACACAGGCATGATGCGGCAGCAGCCACAATGCAAAATCTACAAGGACTCCAGGGAAGAAGTCAAGTTTTATTTTATAATCCATAGTGTCTTTCAGCTTTTGCATACAACTATACTGAATAACAATAAAACAGATTAGAACAAATAGGTTTTCTCACATACAACCATTTATCTTTGCATAACTATGCAATTGTCCATGATCAGAAACTGACAGAGCAGCCTCTCTCCCTCTCTCCAAGTATCCCCCTGCATGCAGTGGAGACTTGATTGCCCCTCCCAAACACACCTTGTCGGGCAGCTTTTCTCTTTGATGACAAACATAACAAATAAGATTGCAGAACAGATAACATGCATTCTATGTAATGACAAATTAGTCATGAAGAAACAGGCAGGTCAAAAGTTTGATCAGGAGGCTCTCATCCTTAACAGGCTCTCTCTCTGATTCTGATGATGATGAAATCAAACTCCTTTTGTGTTTCATAATGCAAATGATAATCCATCCAATCTGTGATCTATACTGCCTATCCTTTGAGGGTCGTTGGGGGGGGTTGTAGCCAATGCAAATGATGAAGCTGATGCAACAGAGTTATATATGAAGGTAACTTTCATGCTGAATTGAAACACTGTGGCTGCTATCATTTCTTATCATAGGTCTTGACTTTAAAACTGACATAAGTGTCAAATTATCTGTTCAGTGCCAACATTGTTTATATAAAAAAAACATGTGTGCCCATCTGAGCAACCATATTGTGTGTGTGTGCCTTAACAAAGTAGTCCTGTCTTGGCCTAAGGTTTGTTGGGTGGCCACTCGCTATCAGCTGCTGTTCCACTTTGTCTCAGGTGTGTGCTGTTCACACTGTCACACCAGCAAAGACATCGGATTTGGGCCATTTGAGCCTGCAGTCTAAACGCAGCCAAAGTTTAAGACTCTACATCACACAGACCAGTTACTAGACAGTGTCACAGACCTGAGCAGTAACAGAGGGGATTTCTCTTCCACCACATGGACATAATAAAGACTCATTGTGACTTTAGCTGCCTCTTTTGTCCTCATCAGCCCACATCACTCGCTGCTGGGGGCCTTTCATCTCCTGTGTTGGAAGCTGTTGATGAGCCTGCACAGTGACTGTGCTTTTTATGTCATTCACAGCTTAAATCTGCAGCACAGATCTGAATACAGGAGGAGAATGAAAGCATTGCTTATCTGTGGCCACTTGAAAATGATAAAGGGATTAACCAGAGGTGTTTGTAGAAGCATGGAACAGTGAACAAAAGAGGAGAGGACAGCAGTCTTCATCACAAGCAATCAGATGATAACTTTAGCAGGATGTGTTCTCTAAATATTTGCCAGTCCCTCATAGTGAATTTAAAAAATGAATGTGTCACAATATCAACTGATCCGGTGGAATAGTCTGCTTCACATGGAACAATGTATTCTAATAGGTGATTGTGAAAGTAGGCTTAAACAATCACTTTTCCAGCCTCTTCTCTTTTTATATAGGACAATATGTTGAATATCCCTTCTACGTATGAAGGTCTTCTGCACAGTTTAGGTTACCAACTACCGGTAGACGTTAGCAGGTATTAGTGGCCACCAGTGGATGTTAGGGACATAACTTCAGTTGTACACCTCAGGGTTATCAAGTGTTTTATCCTTGTAATCAATGGTACAGGCCGAACCTGAGGGAACGCTGAGACTAAAGGGAAATGTGATGTATCCATAGAAGGCAAATGTAAAATGATTGGGTAAGATACACATCACTGTTGTTTGGTTGTTTTTCAGAACCATGGATAGTTCTATAACTACAGACAACAAGCTGAACTGTCCATGGTTCTGAACCAACAGTCAAAAAGTAGTCATGGGTCTGAAACAGATCGATACACAGACAGTGCGTTGTTTGGTTTCTCAGCTTGTTTCCTTTTTCATGGTTTTAGGTAAAACATTAACCACTTTTGAGATGCACTCGGTGACGCTTTCTCTCCCCTGACCCCTCACACTCCCTGTGTTTCTGCACCTCCTCAACACTGCTTTTAAAACATTTATGTTTCATGACTGTGATATAAGTGAACTAGTCGCTTCTTGTTTCTTTTATATGGACATGAATGAGTTAAATAAACACTGTAGCCTAAAGTGACTGACTTTAGCTAGCTAATGTAGATTGCAGTAAATTAGTTCATACAGTAACACAAAGGGACTTTGTTGGTCAACATTGCACAGGTCACAGTCATTTTGATGACACACAATTGCCAAGGTGATTATATTTTAGTTTTCAAAAAAAGGGGACATAGTGGACAGTAAAATGTTGCTACTGCTGGTGGTCTCTTGTTCTCTCTGACTTCCATCAGGCGTAAACATGGCCTTTCAATCACATCATGAAATGGTGTGGTTTTCAATACCATGCAGTGCCTGTTTTAAAAATCCCTGCTTGGAATGGGCTGTTTGCTCATTGCATGGAAACATTGGTGGAAGCTTTCTTTCTGTAACTGTGAAAGTGACCTGCAGTAGTTGAGCCAAGTAAATACCTGCTGCTGAACTCAGCTCACAGCACCCTGAAGCCTGCGCTGCTGCACCAAGAGCCGCTCGCCTGTTTATTCAAAGTTCAGTGAAACTTGACTCTGTACTCAGAACCTGTATGTATTGCCATTGTCTTGAACGACCTGCTGTCGTGATCAACAATGGCACTTCAGTTGAGTCTCAGCTGCTGCTACTACAGAACATACATACATTAATATTGAATGCATTGTGTGTTCAACTAGCACCAAATTCAACACTGCACTTCCATGGGCTCTTAACAATATACATGCCAAGTGAGAAGCTGATGAAAGTTTCAGGGATTTTTGTAATTATTAGATAGACAAAAAGTTATATCAGGCATGTGTAGGTTATGCATCACCTCTCAAATTGTCAGTTTCCACTTGATGGACACAATGATAGCATAAGAAAGGCCACGGTGTTTCCTGAGCCTCTGGTTTAAACAATGTATGCCACATGGTTATTGGAATGCAGGAGAGAGACACATGTCCCCCACAGAGGACAAAAATGCAGCACTGGGTCTCAGGATGAAGATGTTCATTGTCTGCAACCATCACATTTTCCAAGATCTCTTAAACGGTTTTAGTGTAATCAGCTCTGGATCCCTTTGTGGCGGCTCTAGGAAGCCCGCCTCAGCGCTCTGCCTGACTTCAGAGTATTGGTGGTTATCTGACTCTCCGTGTATTCACAGCCACTGCTCTCGCCTTATCAGCAGTCTGGAGCTTGCATGCTCAATCGCCTGATTTGTCAAGGGTGACTCCGAAAGATTCTGATAGGCACTCCACAAATCACCCAGTTGATCTAAAATATCGACCAGCCACAAAAAGTCATTACACACAATAATGGCGGGCAGGACCTTGAAGATGTGACTTAATTAGGTTTCAAATGGCTTCAAAAATGCCTTCAAATCTGCTCCCCTGGAGAGTTATGTGCTCCTGGATTTTTTCTCAGTGATTACAGGTGTAGAAAGTGAGGCACACTGCTACTGACAACCCTGCTGCTGCTCCTAACTATAGGTGATAGCAGCAGCACAGACGGCAGAGATTTGCAGTCACACAAATGCACACTGCTGCTGCTATTTAGCAAGCATGTCTGCCTCAATCTGTATTTTCCTCACCCACCGGATTAACTATAATAACAGATCCCTCAGCTGGAGCTACAATAAAAGTGTTTTGTTTTCTTTTTCTCTGGCTTTGATTTGGCCTTTAGTCACTCAGGACCTTATAACTGCTGAGATGAATATAATTTATCATTAACCCCAAAGTAGGACTTCACTTCCTCTGATCACTAGCTTTTTTGATCAATGGTTGCGAGAGAATAAATTTGAGATGGATTTTTTTGTGTCTAAGCAGTTGGGATGTGTTTTCTTTCTCAAAGTTCTGTCCGTTGTCTCCTCACAGAAAACCAAGATCTCTACGTACGATAAGATGTGGGAGTTCATGAGCAGTCGGAGGCACTCGGTGATGGTGAAGAACATTGAGGAGGGCATTCACCGCGTGCTCACCTCTGACTACGCATTCCTCATGGAGTCCACCACCATCGAGTTCGTCACACAGCGCAACTGCAACCTGACCCAGATCGGAGCCCTGATCGACTCCAGGGCCTACGGTGTCGGAACCCCAATGGGTATGTATCCTATAAATCGAATACACTGTGTCTGCTGAGGCCTGACATTACCTGTTATGCATGTTACATTCAAAGCATACATATTAAAAAACTACTGGCTACTCAATTATTTCAGAATTGGCTACAGTTTTAATTCTTCAGAGAAAGGTGCTGTCTTCTTTGACACAAGCACACTTGTTGTGTAAATCATGTTATATTTTAGAGTGTGTATACAAAGAGTCTTGTTTAATTGATGACATGGTGGTGACTTAGATAATGCTTCATGGGAAAACTCCAAAATAAGCCTGTGATGAAGATCAGAAGATTATTAACCTTTCTATAAAATGTAAATGTAATGTCTGTTGTTACAAATTAAAACCTCTGTTAACTGTAGTCGGTGCTTTTACACTGCACCACATGCCTGAGGGTGACCTGTGTGAGGGAACAGAATCCTGGGGCGATCTCCAGCAGGCAGAGGAGCTGTCTGACATAAATAGTGGGATGAACAGAGAGGGTGGCTCCACAGCAGACTGTCATAATCCCACAAACACAGTGAGAAAATAAACCTTTCTGGTTACTCTTAAGGAACAACATAATATTTGTAAAATATAAAAACATACTACAGGAACTTGTAGTGTATCATGGGAGTTTTCTATCTGGTCTGGTTCAGTAAATTCTCAGTCAGTAGACACATTAATATTCTGATTTTAACCTAATAAAGACAACAGTCTGAAAAAGATACGCACATGTAAATAGCATGTTCTGATAATAAATAATACTCCAACCTTAATCACATTGTGTAGACATATATACATCTTAATCACATTTTAACATACTGTTGGAGTTTTCACATCATTTTGCTACAAAGACATACGACAGTTACCAACTCCCCGATGACTCCTTGGTTCGAGTGTCATTATCAAAATCAGACTATGCATGTTACACAAACAGGAACATGGATGGAATGTTCCATTCCAACCTTGAGCAAACATCGTGATCACAACTGAGCTTATTCTTTAGTCACAATATAGCTGCTTATGTAAATTTATCAGGCTCATGGATGTTTTTACATTGTTCCTCCTACAATTCAAAGAACAAGGTTGCTATAAGTTACTCTGTGTTATACATAATAGAAAAGACATGCAAATCAAAAAAATATGGAAATCATCCATTATCTGCAAGATGCTGAGTGTTAGCCTTCAGTAATCTCCCTCTGTAGAGGGCAGATAATATCCAGTGGCTGTATTGTCCTGACAAACCAGGGAAATGTCATCTGGGACACGGAGTGTTGGCAAGGTCGTTCGCTGCTGTTTGTGTATGCTCTGCTGCTCACACACACAAAGTAATTTGAGTGACTGTGGCTGTGTGTGAAAACAGTGGAGGTAGGCTATATTTTCTTTGTGTGATTGCATTTCCTGACTGATGTGCGCCTCTTGAAGGTGTGTGTGTGTGTGTGGATACGCATTTCCCTAGGTGACTGTGTACTTGACGATGGCATAGAACTTACATTGCATGTGTTTTACTGCTTTCTGTGACTATATCATTTATTCATATTATACATGTTGTTGTGTGTGTGTGTGTGTGTGTGTGTGTCACTAAAAGAAAGAAGGGAAACTTACGAGAGTGAAGGGAATGTAGTGAAAGTGAATGCACCGCACAGCTGTTGTACTTACAACAAAAGAAAGGAGGGGTGTTTGCATCATTACTCCCTGGTGGCCCATTCACATGCAGTCAGGACAAGGTATTTAAATTGCTAAATCTACCCTTTTATTACCTTTTACCATATGCAGCCTGTATTCTCACATGGTCGGGTCATTTAGCATATATTTCTGACAGAGAGTAGGTGTTGGACTGCATTAGTACCTGGGCTATGATAGAGCTGTAGCACTCGGTGCTCGGCCCCTTGGCACCTCCCTCCGCTCAGTAATGGACAGACATAGTTCACCTCCCAGGTGTTAGTCATTGTCAGTCTAATGGTGTGTTTCCATCCATTTAACACCTACTGGCAAATCCTGTTAATTCTCAGGACAACACTCAAACGTATTAAGGGCTTAAAAACAAAGACAGATCCTGTATGTGTCACTTAATGGTAGTTTTTCACTTCAACGAGGCCCATGTTATATATTTTGTTGAGTTGCTTCCCTTCTCTTTCAAATCAAGATAATTATTCAAGGTATTGATCTGTTTCATTTGGTCACCGGCTGCCAGAAGCATCAAAATTGACACTTCATCCAGTGTTTGGTGCAGAGTTATTCATGATAGACTTCCTAGATCTTGTTTTTTCAAGTTTATAATTTATAGAGACACATGAGCAAGCAGCTTGCAGCCCCTACATCCTGTGTCCAAAGTGCTTCAGAGAAACCTGGATTCATTTATTAATTGATATGATACTGGACAGTTCGTTTTGGAGAGAAGACCCATGTATAGAATTTAGCTCTGGGTTAAAACACCCTCAACAATGAACACTGAAGGGATTCCAAGAATGTGATGAATGACAGAAAAGTAGTAGAGTTAAGTAGTTGAGTTAATGACATCTTAAAAAACTGTTATTTGCACAAAGCATTGCAATATAATAAAATATTTTTTTCTATTGTTATTAGTACTGTACCTGAGGCTGTGACTCAGTTGGTTGTCCCTTAATTGCCGGTGTCCTAGTGTCCACACTTTGAAGTGTATTTCAGCAACATGCTGAACCCCAACTGCTCCTATGATCTGGCCAGTGCCGTACATTGTAGCCAACTGTGTGTGTCTGTGTGTGAGACAATAGCAAGTTCTAGTAGCACACAGTGGTGAGTGTACCGGCAGATTGACGCTTAGAAGTGGTACAGTCCAGTAAACTTCCATGAACGTGGTTGGAGGTAATTGTCGCAGAACAGAAAATGAACCAGTGATTATGAAGCAGCTGATGCACATCAGTCAATACTTTAAAATTATTATACTGCTATGCTTACAAACATATGATGTTAAAAATATATAATATTCAAAACATAAATTCAATGTTAATGGCTTAAAAAGTCTGTCTAGAGTAAATCCACATAACACAGTAACACATGCCAGAAAAGAAGATAGACTTCCTAGGACTAAAGACAAAGAAAAGTGATTGTTTACTTTATGTCTGTCTAAGTTGATTTCTCAGCACCTATATGATAGATAGATGGATGTCTAGAGAGATAGATTTGTCTGTCCCAAAGCGACAGAAATTCTCCTTTTGACAGGGCTCAACAATACACAGATAATTCCGGTCATCATGGGAATTTAAGAACTCTGTTTTTCCATGAGTGTCCGCTGAGCGCCGGGCAGGGGATCGTCTGCCCTCCTCAGTCTCACAGTGATCAGATTATATTTTGTTTTTTGTAGAAGCCTGCATGTTTGGCTATATTTACTGTGCTTAATGACCCCAAAGCTGTGTTCTTACCGACTAAGACACAAGGATACTCTCTTTGCGATCATTTTCCGTGTTTATGAGTTTTTTGATAGCCTGTGTATATTTCCAATAGGTTGTTAAATGGATTCCCCGCATGTACTCCCATCACAGGTTTTATTTGCTCGTTTTGTACAGGCAGTGTTCTGTCTCCTCCTCTGCCCTGGCTGTAGTCTCACGAGGCTCCACATTATTCCTCATCCTCCCTTTCTCTTTGTGCCTCTCCCCGATGACCATCAATCTTCATTTACCTTCATTAGGCTGCATTAATCAAACAGGGCAAAGGGGAAGTGTCTGCGCCACCTGTCAGCGGCCTGCTGTCCTCTCCAGTCGTCTGCGCTGCTGCTGGAATGCTGCAGCTTCCCCCTCGTAAACATCCTGAATGCAATTCCGTGTGAGACAGAACATCTCCAGTGCTGTGACCTACAGCGGCGTACTCCACCCTAACCCTTAATCCTGCTCCACCACTTTCACCACCTCCTAAACACACTCTGGTGTGTGCGTGCATGTGTGTGATAAGGAAGAATATCAGACAGAGAGTTCCGACATAGGGGGAGGTGCAGCGGAGACATTCATTCTGTGGAAGTCTTCCATTTAAATAGATTTTCCACTGTTTCCAAACTTGCAGTACATCACTTATGTGTGGTGATGAGAGCTGCAGTGATTGATGACAGGGAGAGGAGAGGCGCATTGAAAGAAAGTCGTATAGGGTTATTAATTGGAAATGTGGTATCTGCTATAGGGTGCACATAATAGAGAAAAGCTGAAAAGACAGAAAGAAGAGTCTTTAGCTTTTGATTTCAAACAAATTGTGTGTATTTATACACCACTTAACTTCAAAGAAGGAGTTAAGGATTATTTGAAGAATGTATTATTCTGTCAAACTACGAGGTCATTTTAGTATTCAGGAAACGATGAAGAGTTTATATAATTGAAACAGTCTTTCAACACATTATAATACACCTGGTTAAACAAAGTTAAACCTGAGGGTTGCTACGCTCAATACTCACAAGGCATCTGAAATAATTACTACAAAACTACAAACAGTTACGAATGATGACGACTATCTAACTCCATGCTGCCTGTTTACATCGAGTGGTGTTATTCTCACAGAACCTCCAGCTGCTGTGGTTGTATCGTATTTTAGAGCTGCTCTGTTTGGATTTCTCTCTCATTCATTATGTCAGTTACTGATACGACTACGAGGGTAATTCATCTTCCGACACCTTGGCAGATAAATATATAAGCAAATGTTGACGTGTGTTCCGCTCTGTCAAATGAGCACACGCAAACTGTGCTTGGAATGGATAAAAGCCTGATGTTCAGACTATGACCATGCAAAAACATTCTGTTTAACATATTTAATTATTGTTCTCCATGAAAGAGTTGCTTTTGAGGCTTTCTCTTACTTGTCCCCTTGAGATGGAGGAGATGTTGGCAGCCTTGTATGATTTTGTATGATGAAAATGATCTCACATACATTTTGAATTTTTAGGTATATTTCTTTACATATTACATATTTACATCCTAACACGCACACATTATCAGGAATCACGAGAAAGTTCTAGAGTGTCAGAAACAGAGCATCTTTGTCACCATA